CAAATAAATAAATAAATAGACATGCAGTGTTTATGATTCTGTGAGGGGATAAGCCCTCTCTCGGGACTAATGCTAATGCATACATTAGCAAAACTGAATTACCCGTTTCAGACCAGACTGACCCAACCCAGTCACGATTTACTGAATTAGATGGGCAAGTACAAGCTTTTTGAACCTCATGGAAATGCGTGAAGTACACAGCTAAGAGTATCACAAACATGTTACAACTCTGATGTGTGATCACCGTGGAGTTCCTCACTTGGCATACAGCTGCAAGGGCTGCCTGCATGCTTTGAGGAACTAGGTGGTAAAGAACAAACAAGCATATCCATCTGCTTTCCCGACATTCTTCATAAGGTTCTATGGTCTCATTTGTTAGTCCAGCTATTTGGATTCCGAGACTTGCTCTCCGAGTCCATCCCACTGATTTTACCTCAAACAAGAACCAGCCACGACTGGGGCTCTCAGTTGCCTTCATGAAAAAACCCTCCAATTGTTCCAGTCTCAGCAGTGTGGCTCCAAATAACCTTACTTACCATAGCAAACTGAAAAAAGGAGGAAAATGCCAATAAAATTGTTTCATCTTCCCAGCAGGAGTAACTTCTGCCAACATAGTCTGTTCCTCCAAGAGTCCATTAAACGACAGCCCTAGTTTAAATTCATGTTTAACTAGAGGAAACTTAGTACAGGACATGTTCTCTGGTCTTCCTCTCTCTTTGTAGCAACAGCTTCCTCACTTCAATCAGCCCCAAAATGCTAGGAGCCAGAAATGCTGCACCACTCACTCATGTCTGGAACAAATGCAATGAACAATTGTGGCACAAGGCAGGGTAGGCACCACACAGCTAACCTTCTCAAGCAAAGCAGTTACCTGCACTTTCAGGTATGGGGAGAGAACGTTAACTGTTTACAGTTTAAATGTAAATGTGAGCAACAAGTAATTTATTTACAAAAGCATCAGGCTATTTGTGTGTTTTCCCAGTTCATCTTCCACTGCACAGTAATGTCTGAATCAGTCTCAACCCCAGAGGTTTGTCAAGCACAGATTATTTGGTCTTCCACATGCACCATGGGTCTGACTGTCTTGTACAAACCAGTGTAACGTACAAGGCAGCATCGTCCAGTCACAGGCTCAGTTCAGGTTTTCCAGTTCCAGTGCCACCTGAATTATTAGCTATCACAGCAGTAGATATGAAGGCACTTCATAAATAGATTTTTAAAGCCCATTTGCATGAACTGTTTGGAACCTATGAACTGGGCATTTGAATCCTCGACCCTAGCTGAGGATTTTATTAAGTAGTTGCACATGGAAGTTCACAGTACAGATTTTACAGCAACATGAAGGCTGTAACATTTGCCTGGCCAGCAGGAAGCTGTGCCTTACTGAGGAACTTGAGGCTTTGCACACTTGGGTGCCAAAAGTAACTGATTCCTTAGAAGGGCCTGGAGATCCATAGCTGGATCTGGGGCCACAGCATGGACACACGAGTCCTCAAAGTTATTTCTGGGGTCTTTTCCCACAAAGTGTGTTCAGAAGCACTGCCTCATTCCCACCCTACATATACCTGCACATCTAGATGCTTAAGGTCAATAGCTGGTGGAAGGGAAGGATGAAAGAGCAACTCAGTGAGGCAAATGCTGTGTAAGAAGAATGGACTCATGCCTCACTGTGGACTTTCCTCTTACAACCCGTTTCCTCTGTGCAAAACCTATTTCCTTAAATACAAACTATAAAAAAAAGAGCACAAAGGAGGTGCAGGAAGTCCTTATGCAGGCAGATACTGCCTACATAAAATAAGTGTCTTTGTAAACAAGAACATCCACTGGCTAAGATAATGTATTAAGATCATCCACGTTTGTGACTGGGATGCCTGCTATCACAACCAGAGAACAGTTACCATTGCCTTCCTTATAACCTGACACAGTGCATGCCTTCTTCTGTACAGCTCCTTGCCCAGATTGTTCTGTTATAAAAAACAATGCTAATTTAAAAAAAAAAAAAAGCCATGCTTGGTTTCTGATAGTACAATGCACATGGCACTAGAAGGCAACTCCTGCAAGCCTCTATACTTTAGGGAACAGCATTTGCCAAGGGAGGAGCAAGAGGCTGGACTATCTCAGCTGCAGCTCACAGCTCTAGCACCAATCAAGATTGTCTGTCACAATACCTGCTATGAGTTAGGTGGGACAACTGTTAGTCATCACTGCACAGCCCATAAGGTCTTATCTTAAAGATGGGACAGATAAAGGCTTCTAAACTGCATGAATAAAGGCCTTTTTCTGCTGCAGAAGTATCTGTGTGGCTGCCCTCCAAATGCAGGCAGACAAACTGACAAGCCCCATGCTAGCAGGGCTCTTGGCGAAATCAGAACCTCGCAGCAGAAGTAAAAGGAAAGAAAAAAAACCTGCCTCCCTCTCCAGAGTCATTTGTTGCTTTTCTAAGTCAATGTCAAAGCTAAGTTTCAACTGTTTTTTTGTTTGTTTTTTTTTCTGCTAGGTGCAAACAAGATCGGCAGGAGAATCACCTCTGGACAGACTCCTCCTTCCCTCAGATCCCATGATAGATCTATTTTGAGGCTCCTAATCACTAGGGTAGGTGGCATAAGTATACAGGACTGCAGACCTGTAGATTTTGTTTGAGGTAAGACTGCATGGGATTGGGAAGACTGCACCTCTCGCAAGCTCCAAGCAGGACAGAAACCCTAGGATACCATAGCAACAAGGCAGCTAAAAATGGTAATGAAAACAAGAGCAGAACTGAGATCTGTTGCATTAGGATTACTCACCAGGTGTGCATTAGCCATCTATTTTGGCCATCTCATTGGCTTCTATGTTGTGCTTTTCTTTGTTTTGCAGAAAGCATTGGGTAAAGATTTAAGGCTCAATTATATTTTTTTTAAAAAAAGAACTGCTAAATCAGTTGATTTATTTATGTCCTGCATATTTCACATTGTATGTATATATAGAGAGAGAGAGAAAAAAAAAAAAAAAGAAAAAACTTCTGGGACTAGCCTAAGTAATAAATTCATCCCACTGGAATGTAGACAACCACAGTGGGTTCAACCTTATTCAGCATTTAGGGCATCTGAGCTGTTGTTCTACTACCAAATCAACTGCTTAAAGCAAATAAAAGTGACAGGGTAGAGTTTCATATTGTCAAGTCAGACATTTCCACTAAGGCAGCTGCTGTTACATTTGTGTCTTCCTGTTTTGTTTTTCTGACTGCTTACCCCACTGCTTGGAACAGGAATTCTCCAAAAGAGGTTTAGTCTCCACTAACAGATTGGTTGGCTAAGTCCCATCCCAACAGCATAACTAACATCAACAGAGGAGTATAAAAATATAGCAGTTAGGAAAAATACTTTCCAACCAGCATACAGGCAGAAAAGGAAGATGACGCATAGTCCTTTTCTGACCATCAATGCATTTAAAATATTATAAAATTAGTAATGGAAATAGAACTGAAGATCCTGGGAGATGTTTAGACACAAGCTGAAACAGCAGGGTAGAAAAGGAAATGAGCACTCCACTTTTAAATTTAACAGCAACTGGCAGTGCTCCTGTAATTAGCATTTTCTTGACAGCAAACGTTCTGAATAAAGAATGTACCGTATCTTATATCCCCATGCAGTACATACAACTTGTGGTTTAAGTGAGCTGGCAAAGCAAAGTTGCAAACAATTCAGAGTTTAAGAAATTGTGTGCAGAAATCCCCTTCTGTTAACAACTGGACCACATCTGAATTGCATAAAATGTTCAGGTGCTTTTAAAGTTGTAATAGAATAAATACTCTATTATAATTGGTACATTCCCTTCTCAATCTAAGTATACAATAACTTAATATATTCAATATTTAGATAAACAATTTTTAGTAGATGCTTTGGCAGTCAAATTCTCACATATTCTCTATTTCTACAGAAGTATTTAGTTATGTTTTCTGAAAAAATCACCTGGATATGATTTACAAGAAATATATGCTGTACAAAACAGCAGTCCAAATCATCACTGCAAACTGTAAAAGACACAGTTAATAAAAGAGTATAAAAAGGAATGCATATTTGCTAGAAGATATTGAACATTCACAGGAAGGAAGAAGAAACATTGGCACCATGACTTTTTCTTTTCTTGCCAATGAAGACAGAGAAAGACTGTCAGTTACTTGAAAAGCATTTAACTGATTCTAGTTTATGTGACAGTTGTGTTTCCTACACTCTGTACATTAGCATTACAAAGTTTTGGAACAGATTTTTTCTCTTGGGTAATGCTTGTTCATGACAACTAAAAAAGGTAAAAAGGTCTTCAATCATTTGTTTAGTCTAACTAAAAAGTTACTAACTGGTACATTATTGTAAGTGAGTAATAGGTGTTTCCTCATTACAAAATGACTGTTGTATTTCATTTATAACGTGAAAAAAAAAAAAAAAAGGGGAAAACAGAAAAACACAGAAGGACCTTCTAAATGTTCACACTGAGAAGTCTCTGGTTGGGCAACAGAGTGGAGCAGTAAGAGTCCATAAGTACAGACAGACGCAAACCCAACAAGAGACCATCTTAATCCAGAAGATGGACCAGGTTCCAGTGAAGAATTTTTCAATCTGAGCGCTTTCATAACTGTTAAGGGAAAAAAAAAAAAAAAAAAAAATTAAAAAAGCAATTAACTCAGTATTCATATAGGACTGCAGTATACTGTTTTTTCAAGTGGGTCACAGAATTCAACTAGGTTAATCCAGACAGCAAGCAGGGGAGAACAGCCCTTTATAATAGCGCAAGAATCACCTGGGAAAGACTTGCAATGTCTGTTCCAGCTTCTTACTTAAGGAGGAGCGACATCCTACCAGCAGATCTCCCCCCTCAGCACAGAGAGACATTAATTTCTCGGCTTTATAAATACACTTACTGGAACCAATGAGTTACTGTCATCATGACGTAGAGAGAAGCCAAGAAGAAAACAAAGTGGAAGTAGGCATAGCTATACACCGTGCCTTTCTTCTCATCATAAATCACAGTCTGGCCTCCCCTTTTTTCAGTGTGGTCTTCAGCATCAGCTGTAGGAGAGAGGAAACAAGAAAGCTTTTGCAAATTTAATGAGAACTGAAAACAGCAGCTGGCTTCACAAAGAACACAGCAAAACATCTATGATGTGATTTAGAAAAGCGTGATACAGAGCAACACTGAACACTTCCTTGCCCTCAGGGCACAGGCCTAAGCCTTTAGTAAAGAAACTAGACTGCCACTGAAATCCAGCCTTGTATCAGCTTCCTGGTCTACTGGTCAGTTTTTGAGCATTGGGGCCATTTAAATTGCTCTACCTGTATGATATTCTTCTGGCAAGTCCAAGCTGATAACCCTGATTGTATCAGATCTGCGTGCAGGACACTCTCCCTAACTCACTCCTGAACTGCAGTCTGTGCAGAGCTGCTGAGCCCAAAATCCAGGAGTCAGATCAGTCAGTCACACCCACAGGCATGGAAAGAGCAGAGATGACTCTTTGTTGCAGTAATGAAATATCCTTTAAGGAATTATTAACTAGCCTGTTGTTTTAAAATTGTATTGTTACATCTCTTCCTTCCTTCCGTAGCCTAACTCTGAGCACTTCAGCTGCTTCAGTTTGATATGCTACAGAATGAGGATACAGGCAGCTGTGTCCTTACTCTCTTGGCTTTGGCCTGAAAGCCACAAAAGTGAGGAAAACTGTGCAGTGAAAATGTAATTACCGTCTCCATCAGGCACACAGCAAAAGCAGCAACGAGCTACCTGTGGAACAGACAACAGGAAGGGTAAGAGTCTGGGCTACAACAAAGAAGCAGAACAGTTCGTGAAGGAAGGTCTGTTATGTCTACATTACAAACACTAATTTAGAAAAGTCTGGTTTGTATTTCCAATCAGCACAAAACTCAAATTAGGATTTGCCAAGTTCATAACAGAAGTTTCTAAGCTTTGGAAAAATCTACTCAGAAAGATTTGGAGCAAATTAACCATTCTTTCAGAATTACTCTAACTCAAGATCAAACACTAGTGCAAATAATTATGATAAAATGGCAGAAAAGTGGTTGCGCATTAGCAGTCCAGAAGGGACTTGCCTCTTCAGGTTTGCATCTACGTGCTTTTTAAATAAAAAATTTCTCTACTGAAAGGAAAGTATAGGGAATTTTTAAAACCCTGCTGCATGGGTTGGAAATCACAACTGCACAAGCTTAAGTCAGAAATGTACTTATCTTTGCGAGATTTTGCTGAAATGGAGCCAGAATGAATACAAGCAGAATGGGTAAAAGCAGAAAGCTGGTTTTACTGCTTTATTTAAATATTTAAATGAAGATTTTATTTTTTTTTAACTGATTGAAAAAGGAAAACTGAAATCGACACTTCTTATATTGAGTGGTAGTGTAAATGGGAGAAGGGTTCTGACCATCCAATAAATATATAAGTAAGTGCATTTTCTGCTCTAGACCACAGTACAAATCAGTACTTTCTGTAGTGCATCACCAACATTACTTGTTCTGATAAAATCCTACTCTGGGGTTTATTTTGGTTGTTGTTTAATGAAGACAATGAACCCTGTTGGGAAAATTCCCTTCCCTAACTATTATATCAATCAGTCTTTACAGCGTGAAAGTGTATTAACTTTGTTAACATATATTAGTTCACAGTATACACTGCAGTGTAATGAGATAGTGGAGTTTTACTGGAGACTTTGGTATTGTTCATGATTAAGTAAAACAAACTGAAGGCCTTTGATTCTTGGAAGCTTAGAGCTGTCCATGAAGGATAAAAGACAATGCCAGCATGCTAGACCCTCTAAAACATCTTTGAAAACCTCCCAGCATCATAGATAAGTTAACTATTGGAAAACTGACTCCAGGAACATCTGGTTCAATAGATAAGCGACAAGTACGCTGCAGAAATACAGTTGCTTTGCAGAGTTTGAGTATGACTAGTAACTGGTGGTAAGGGTGTCAGTGATTTGGCAAGAAGGGTATAAGGACTCTGTGCAAAACCACCTCTGAGGTGCCCCAGTTTGGACACCTCATGCATATGAATAAATATTTACCCTTGTAATTCTATACTTTGCATTCTAGCCTCCCTCCTCAGTTGGCACAGTTGCAAGTTCTCCTAGTACCTCCAAAAATCAGATAGTAAGCCTTTAAGGTAAAGCATTCAACTGAAACATCAATTGGCAGTTCTTACCCTGCATACCCATGATTATATGTACTCACTGGGTTCACAAACTCATGAATAGCCAAAAAGCTCATTCTTTTTTAAGAGATTGTATGACAGTTTAAATAAAATCCTTATTCCGTATCTCTTTCCACTCACATACAGTGCCAGTCTGAGTTTCCTGTGGCCTGCACTCATGTTCTGAAGCAAGCGCTCGGTTCCCTCAAACTTTTCAATCGGTTGCAGTTAAGTCCTTGCACAGACAAGAGCGATTAAATTAGCAAGGCTGGCATAAATACCACTAGCTCCTCACAATGCTCAGTTATGTTCGGCACAGATGCTGACAGATGCTCTGTACAGCACAAGCAAATGCAGAGCTACGTTCAAGCTCCTGCCCAGGAGACAGGCCCTTTTTGCCACAGGGAAGGCAATCAGAGTGCAATTAGTTGCTCTTCACCAGTCATTTCTTTATATTTACATTCAGTGGCTCTTGTACTGCTTTTCAAAACAAAATGGTCCAGAATAATCCTGTTGGCAAGCACTGTGGCAGATGAGCTGGACCTCCCCGGTGAGGGGGCCACCTCAGGCATCCACGCTGGGCCAGCTTTCCCAACCTGCTGGCTGCTCCAGCTGCAGGGCAAACCGCAGCCCCAAGCTCTTCGGACTGCACCTCCTGCAGCTTCATGCTGGCAGAGGAAGGTGGGTGGGTGTGAAGGGCTGCTGTGTTCTCTCTGGCCCCCGGACTCGTCCTGCCCCTCCCCAGCACAGGGCGGGAAGGCACAGATCCTGCCTGGATCTGCCCAAGGAGTTCTGGGACACATCTCAGTGCTTGATGCCGCGCCTGCTGCAGGCTGCCCGCCTGCCAGGGCTGGGGCCGGTGCCAGGAGCCAGCGGGTGCTCAGCTGCCTCAGTGATGACACCGGCACCCCATCCAGTCGCACCGTCCTGCCAGAGAGAAGCTCCTCTGGCACCGACATGCTCCCATGGTGAAACATGCTTTGCTTCCACACACCCAGCTACTGCACCCCCCAAGTGCCTCAGCAGATACTTTTGCATTTTTGGATTCTCACAAACACTCTGATTAAAGATTTGAAATATAAAAGTTAAAATACCAACGTAGAGAGAGCTGGGGGTGGAGATTCATCTTCCAAATGCACACACATTTGAAGAGTGACACTACAAGCCTAAGTGAGGGGTAACTGTTACTTAGCAAAAAACCACTTGTTTCCCAGTGTTTCTGGGTGTTGCTAGGGTAAGAAGGCCAAAGAAATAGGCAGGTGAAATGAAGAAACCTGTACTGCTGAAACAGAGTCAAGAAATATAATCTGAGATTACATTATAGGCAAAAAGAAAGTAAGTCCTTAGGTGTGGAAATAAAAGTAAGAGATAGGAACTTGGGATCATAGTCAGCTGCTATGAGAACAAAGGCAACCAGGTGTGAAAATGTTCAAGAACACCTCCAATTCTTTTCCTCATAGCTTCCCAACAGACTTTTCCTTTAAATGAGAGAACATGCACTTATGTGGAACACAACAAGATTCACAGGAAGTCTGCAAGATGTTAAATAAACTGCAAGAGCAGCAAATTATTTCAGTACATAAAGGCACTGCCACGGGACCAGCAAGAGCTGCAGAAGGGACAGTGTGGACAAGAGTCCATGCCCAGAGGAAAGTAGCATGCATGCTACGACCAAGTATTTTTTTCCCACCTAATTACAGATTACTTAGCTGTGAAAACAACAGCAAGAAAAGCATATGAGGAAGTCTGCACAGAAATCCTGTGGGAGGAAGCAAGAACTCACTTCAGTTTCAGGTGTTGCATATATTCCTCTCAATGCCTCTGAGCTTGCACGTGTTGTTGAGGTCAAACTAGGAGGAAAAGAAGATAGTGTCAGTCTAAGCCCAACAGGGTGATAGTTTAAACACCATAGCAAACATAGTCTACTCCCATGCCTAAGCTAAGCATTTGCCTGGATATAGCATCATGCACCTAGCACATGAAAAGTTTGTTCTGCACAAGTATAAACAAGGCTAACAACACTGCCACCGGCCAACTCAGGCTGAATCACCAGCTTAAAAGTAGGTCACTCCTGAAAGGTGGTGAATTCATCACCATCAGACAGCAGCAAACAGCTAAGCACTCCAATTTGCAATTCACAAGAGATCTCCCCTGCTGTGCACAACCAATGCTTTTATATTAACTTCACAGCCAGCACTTTGGCTCAGCATTTCTGTAAAGGCTTTGCCAGTGAAGTAACAAGTCACTGGCAGCAGTCAGTTTTCAACAGTGAATTACCAACCACTATTGTCAGCGTACTAGTTGCTGGAAATGACTTTGTTGCACGATTGTAGTTGTCTGGGGGGAATCCTTTCTAGTTTCTTGTGATTATAAACATTTCTTGCTCAGTCTTCCCCTTTCAGGATTGTGTAATGCAAACCCACCATTACCCACAGGGAGAAGTGTGTTAATGCTTTGCTGTACACACTGAGCCTGAGTGAGTAATACTTCAAAACATTCTCCTTGAAGGCCTTCTTATCTCCACAGCTACACGGTGCACTGACCCTGCAAGGCTATGTGAAGGTTGTCTGCATTCCCGGAACACCTTCCTGGGGCACTGGAAATACTGTTCTAACGTGAACTAGATCCATGATATTCATGTATTTGATATCAGAATTAAATGGAACATATATGCATATTTGATAGCAGAAGAGTGGCTGTGCTACCTCTTCAGAAAGTCTCTCATTTTAACTTCAAATTTATGAAGGCACTTCAGTATGTGGATTTTGAAACGGACTGATTAAGAAGCAGAACCTGCCCAAAAACCTGAAGCAGACAGGCAGTGCCATCTCCTGGCAACCCGCACAGCCAAAGCAAGTGATACATCACCTTTCAATCATCAGCAACTGCCCCAGTCCCTGTCCCAGAATGTGACTTTATTTACTGATGTGAGCTGCAGTAACACAAGGTGAGCATCACAACTATATGGGCACAAACGGATTTTTTTAGAGCAGGAGATTGCTGGCAAATCGCGATGACAGTATTGTGCTCACCACTTGTTCAATGGAAGCCCTAAACCCTCCCAAAAAAACAGTTTTGTTTAAAGCCCCACAAGAAACAGTCATAGCCTCTGCCAGGAGGCTACAGAAATTTCAGATAGCTTTTTTAGATGGACATAGCTGCATAGAGTTTTTCTTAGAGAAAGAGTAGATACAGAATCAAAACACTCTGAGACTGTTTGGGATCATGCACAACTGGAAATTTTTTTCTCTCCACCTCTAGGTGAAAATTCTTCTGTTTGGTTTTAATGAAATACATTTGTTTCAAAAGTTGTATTACCTTGTTGAAAAGTTTTGGCTAAAACATCTAACCATTCTGAAACTGAGGAGAATATGAACCTTCCAGCTCAGTTCTATTCCACTTTTCCCTGTTTCTTTATCTGTATGAGGCCTGCTATAAAGCCTTTGCTAGCTGGACCATGACACTGAATTTACAGTAAGGTAACTGCAAACCCCCGGACTTACCAAGAATATAAAATGCAGCCAAACAAAATGGTAGTACCCAAGCCAGTAACCAGGTTTTCATCTCTGTGCAGGCCTTGACTAAATTCAGGTACACAGATTGTGATGTTCTGATTGTTTTCATCCAGGACTTGACAAAACACAACAAACAAAAAGAGTTAGCAAAGCTCATTGCAGTGCATTTCAAAGTAGTCTTCTGACTAAAGGTTTTCAGTGAAATATCTGTAACTTCAGATGCTGGGTACATTTCAGTTGTTGCTGTCTATCTTTTAAATAAATAATACATAAAAAATTCTGTAAATCTGGCAGATTCTGTATTTTAGGCAAAACAAAAATGTACTTAGTGGGATACTAAAATTTCTCATTTGACCACAACAGACAAACAAGGAAAAAGACCATTTGGTCAACTAAGAAATAAGCTGGAAGTTTACTAATGCTTCACCCGAGACTACAGAGCCATGTAAGACTGAGATAACACAGACCTGAGACCATACATTTCTTTGATTGGAGACAACTATGAAATTCATGTTCAGTAAAAAAAGGTGGTGTGTAGTTGCCCTGTTCTCAGACTGATATACAGAAGACCAAAGATAAGGAAATGCACCAGTTACAAGCAAGATTTTATTTTAACATCTAAGGAAATTCTCCTTCTGGGTCCCTGAAATGAAACCAATTCAGTCCTTCATGTTCCAAGGTGCACCTGTGTTTTTGGTGTCTGCTTTGAGGCAAGGCAAGGCAGAGCAGTGGCCTGCAGCATCACCCCACAGCAAGAGATTACAGCTGTGCCTTACCTCAAATCAAGAGCTTTTTGAGCCAATACGGTTTAAGGCAAACTGTGTTCTTATTTTCTCTTCTTTTCCAGCAGCCACACTGCATCCCCATCGGGACAACGCAACAGTTTGTAGGGATAGAGGGCAAAATGCAGCAAAAGCTACACCCAGGTTAAAAACAAACTTAAAGTCAGTCCCCTGACCTGGTGGAGGAGGACTTTGCAGGGCTGCACAGCTTTATCAGCACACAGCAGGGACAGTGAGGAGGTGGGATTAAAAGGAGGGGTGACAAGACTTTATGGAACACAGTGGCCAAAGATGTACAGAATCCCCTACCTGCATCCATGAGGGACACCTCTGTACAGCAAGGCAGGTCCACTGTTTGGCAGGCCTTTTAGCTAAGTCTGGCACCAAAAAGCTGTGGCACACTGTGATAAGCACTGGTTCAACAGACATAACCTTTTGTTTGCCCATTCCTTCTAAAGACATTTGCAACTCTACTTTTTGGGTGCTTGCATTTTGCTCAGGCCTGGTTTGCAAGATGGCCAGTCTGAATGTCCCTCCTTGAGGAGTGAGTCACCATTAGGTAAGTTCACAGCAAATCTGTGACAGGGATGGGACACCTTAGTAAGTGCCAGCATCCCATACATTTTCCAACATATGCCACCATAAAAGCTGCACAGGCCAGTATGAGAGTCCTTATCACGAGGGGAGAAAGCAGTATCTCATCTCTGAGAGCAGATGACAACCATGAGAGTTCTCTGGCCTGGGAAGACAAGGAGGAACATCTGATTCAGCAGGTCTGAAAGACTGCGTGATGCATACTCTGAGAAATGCAATAATTTGCGATACATAAAAAAAGAATCAGAGTATTCACTCAACTGCTGAAGGCTTTGACTGTCACAAGCATGAAATAACACGAGTTCAATGATTTAATACCATACATCACCTTCTTCACTATTTTTCTTCCTTTTTTTTTTTTTTTTACACTGTCAAGAGTTACGAGTAATTCAGATACCTTCTAAATTAACTTCTATATTCAGTTAAAAACACTGCTTAAGCTCCACAAGTAAATTTTCCACTTAAATACTGTTTGTTTTTCCTTCTTAGCTGTAGAGTACATTTGTGTCTGTGCCTGTGCCTACCCAAGTGCGACAGAAAGAGATTCTTTCCACCATCTCTCCCCTTTCTTCTTGGGAAGTGTCTATAAAAACTTCTCCTTCCTGCCAATGGACTTCATTTCCTCCAGTTAGTGTTGAATAGTTGAAACAACAATAAAAGTTGAGCAATAATAAAGAAGGGGTTTTTAGCATTACTAATTTGAACCAGAAAAGTCTTAAGTGAAAAGAATGCTCTCTGTCCAAACAGGTGAATCTGATAGTTACCTGGGAAAAGGAAACAGTTTGAATTGTGCTTGTAAAGTCTTGCTGGTTTTTGTAGCCTAAGGAACTTGAAACTAGGGAGTTCCCTACTCCTGGCTTGCAATGCCAATGGCTAGAAGGCAAGTGGAGTACAGAAACTCTGTTGAAGAACAGCATCATCGCAAACAACTACAACATAACTCCAAGTCCTTTCTGAGAATGTTTCCTCTCAAAAGAGAACTGGTACTCAGGTTTTTGCTCCATTAGGAGTCCAGAGATAAGGCTATCTATCATACCAATTCTAGGAGAAATTTAGTACCCACTCTGATGGCCAGCACCTAGTAACTGGTGGTGGACCCAGTAAACTTGTGGTTGGAGCTGATGACCCAGAGGCATCCAAGAGCCATTTGTTCCAGCTCCTTTCCCACGATGTGACCAAACACATCATGTATGTAGTCATGTCCTATCATATGAGACCATGCACTTGCCTCACGAGAAAAAAGCTACAAGACTCAGAAATTTGTCCATAGGAAACTGGCTGGAATTGCTCTGGTGCAACAGATGCAACTCACCCAAGGTACATTAAGCTCCCCTGGACCAAAGTACTTAAGGTACATGGAGAGTGCCAATCGCACTGTTGCTCTGCTTCTCAGATTTATTTTTAGTACTTGCAATTTGTTCTACATAGGCCAGAACAAACCAAACCCAGCACTCCTATATCCCTGAATTTGTTAATGCAGGTTTGCTAAATTCTCGCTTTCAATACATGAAATCTCTGAAAGAATTTACATAAATCATTACATAACTTACTAGTTTCTGGTGGCTTGCTGGATAGTGCAGAGAAAGTGAGGTACATGACATAGCAGCTGATAACTCCTGACTGCAGCAAACCAGAATGGGGCTGGCCTTTACAAGAAAGAGGAAAATAAGTTATTTTTGCAGACATTTTAACAAACTGAAAAAGAAATTAATATCCTTTAAAGAACAGCACACTAGTATCTTCCAGAAGAGAAGAGTATCTTCATAAATAGTATCTTTTCTGTTTTACTTAAAGCAGTTCTTAAGTCTTTAAGCGTCAGTTTAGATACATTTCCACTGGCATGTAAAGGGAGAAGAGTCTGTCCTTTAGCTCTGCTGGCTGTTTTAGAAAGGCATTAATGATTCCCACGTAAGTAAAGAATCATCACTCTGCTCTTGTCACAAGCAGCAGCTTCCCAAAAACTATCGACAAACTGCCACGATAGTTTTATTTGTCTGTAAAATTTGTGTTGGAGTCACTCAAATTACTATTTCCAGGTCCAATGTATGCAAGATACTAACAGCATGCACAAAATATACCTAAGCATGAAATACTGCTGTCAACTCCTCCAGGCCCAAACTTTACAGATGGTAAATCACAGTCAAAAGTAAATGGTAAAGCGGTGCTGAATGAGTTTGACAGCTGTTACCTCAAATGTTACCTCTGCAAAGAGTTGTTACCTCTGCAAGAGTTGTGTAACCTCTACAAGACGTAACCAGCCATGAGCACGTCAGGTCAGCCTTCTTCACAGTGTGACTGCCTGATGGCACACCCAAAATGTCTCACACCTCTGCAGTTTTAGCAGCTGAGCTGATGACCAGCAACAGCACTTCATAGAGTAGATAAAGAAGGACAGGGCAAGAGCAGCGCCAGCTCTGAACTATCATGAGACTTTCTGCCCAGAAGACAGCTCATGCCTCGAGGTACACAACTGTGGCAGAACTAGAAACCCAGGAGGAGAAGAGGTCAGCGGACTCACGATTCTGGACACAGGGCGATATGGCCACCAGCGACACAAAAAGGCACAGGCCACCGTTAACACCAATTAGGACCTTGTTGTACATGCAGCCCTCTGAGCGTGTGTAGAAAAGAGCCATGAGGACCAGGGCTGCCACAGCAACGGAGTACAAGATGAGAGTGACCAGGGCAAGCAAACCATTCCACATCTGCTTGTGGTTTGCACCTGCAGTCCTGGGGAGAGAGAGGCAAGCACCTTATCTTTGTTTTCCCTTCCCAAAAAGCTAAAATGCTAATAGCTGAATAGTTCATATCCTCAAACACTAAAAACAGTGCTTACTTTACTGAAGCACGTGTACGTTACTACACCAACACAGGCCCATGAAAGGTTCGTCCCATGAAACAGAGGGAAACATTGCTTAGCATTAGTGTTTATCTTCTGTATTATCATGCCCAGATGTTTCTGCAATTATAGCCTCGCGTGACTCCCAGAACTCCCAATCTCTGCGATCAGCCTGTCAGCGCATCTCAGCTGAATACTTCAGGGATTTACTCAGTGGGAACTCTGAGCGTCCCAGGCTCAGATAGGGAGCAGTGCTTTTCACACAAGGACAGGAAAAGCATATTGCTCCACACAGCCTCTCTCCTTCCCCTTGTGCTACCATGACAGTTTTACTACTCTTTTGCTCTAAAAGCCTCCTCTCCATTTGGTCTATCCCACCGGTATCCCTCAGCTGAAGTGTGGTACATCTTTGCCTTCCCCTCTTCACCTTCCAAACACCTCTTGCAAAGAACACTGTTTTTTTTAGGAGTAGCAACTAAAAAAGTTGTTTTGGCACAAAGGGCTTTTTGGTGTGTGGAAGGTTTATTTTTTGTTTTGTCTGGGTTTTTTGTTGTTTGGTGGAGTTTTTTTGTGGGAACATGACTTACTTTAAAAGAATATCTAATGTAGAGAGTGATAAAGTAAATGCTGCTGCTGGAAACCTTTCATCCACAAAAAAGCAGCTACAGTAATTAGCAGTAAAAATATCTGTGCTATAAAGAGAGCTCACCTCTTTCTCCCTGAAAACATGTATCTAACAAAGACCAAAGGTTTGCTAAAACTGTTTCTTAGCAGTCAGTATACTAACTAGAACAAGAGAGGACTGTAAAGGCTTGTAGAGGAAGAAATGAGAGACAGAAAGGGTAGAGGTAGGCGTTCCTGTGTATATGTAGGAGGACAATTTAAATATTTTACATTGATGAGAGGCTAAGGGCTAGGAAGGTATTAGCAAATATTCTTAAACCAGAAATGAAGTCAATGCCAAAATGGGCTATATGTGGGTTGATATGTGGGAATTTTGCATGTTTAGATGAAGCAAAGAAGTTTAAGAGAAAGTAGCAGTTCTCATGTTGAGAAAAGATATCAAACTGATGTGCATTCAGCTGACACAAAAAAAGCAGGATTTACGTTCACATCACTGCATACATTTTAATTTACATTTTGCAAATCTGGTTTTATTCTCTTGCATCAGTCTGCTTCTTAGCAGGTATATTTTTATATAAAACAACTTCAAGTAAGAGGTTTTTGCATCCCAACATGTTACTACTTATTGGAAGCCAAGCAAATCAGGTTAAGAATAAATCAGCAATGTAGAAGTGAGTTAGGAGGAAACATCTCTGCTAGGGAAGAAGAAAATGGACGAAGCAAAGCTCTAAATATTGACATTAAAGTGTCTTCTTTTGCAATTACATCCATGCTACTTTTAAATTCTTTTTTTATGAGAAATGTATTGTTCAAGAGTCCACCAGAATTTTATGCAAATAACTAATTGCCCAACACATACCAATTTTTATTCCATTTGTGTGCGAACTCAACAAGCAGGATGAGCTGAATGCCAATGAAAAGGAAGCCTCCTGTTGCACCTACATAGCGCCAGGCTGCAAGACAGAGAGACAGAAAATAGGTCAAATTGCAGTTGCGTTTCCCTTGAGATAAAATGGAATTATTGTCTAGGCAGTGCAGCTGTTACACAGTTTTAGTATCTCAACCTCACAGGTGGAGCAGGAGATGAGAGACTTCAGCTGAAGGGCCAGCTCAGCTAACTCAAGATTAGCTCCCTGATTAACTCAGCTTGCAACCTGCTACGCTTTCAAAATAAGCCTGTTAGGATACTTACCGAGTTTCTCTAACCTAGAGGATTTTCGTGGAAACTATGAGTTACTATATTCAGACAGAAAATATTGAAACCTTTATTTGTGACTAGCAGGAGGGAGGTGGTATGAAGGCATTTCACAGGAATCTAAACCCTGAAATTGCAAGGTACTGGAACCCAGTACTAAAAAGGGCAATTTCTTCCCTTCCAGATTCTAGCACCACAGAAAAAACAAAGGTGGAGCTTATCTGTTTACACATGCTGTCTTGAACCACTCCTAAAGAGTCGGGAACACTTGTAATTCACTGACTAGTTTTAAGACAGGTTATTTGACTATTTAACCACTGACCTACATATACTGTTTTTAGGTAGCTGTTTGGATGCTTCAGACAACAGATTTCTTATATGCAATATCAGAAGTCTCTGAGGAAATACAGATACCTATTTAAATGTTTAGTTGCATACAAGCTTGTCTGCTGTGCAGTGCATAGCCTATAAATGACTCCACGTATGCAGCTGATTTCAGTGAAGAAGACCAAGCAAGCGTATTAGCAAAGTTCAGCCATATCCTCCCATTGTGTTTTCCTTTGAGAATAAAGCTCTTATAAGTGAAGTGGAACAACAGAACAGTCAGGGCACGTTACCCTTAGCAGATAATGTAGGGAGGTTTTTTGGTTTCTTTACTGTACCATAAGCTCATTATTTAAAAGCAAGCAAAAATGCCATTTGTCTGGTTTTGCTAAAAGTATTATGTGCACTTGATAAGCATGCTGTTCTTCAAACAAACAAAACAAAACATGGAAGAAATTAGCATTTACTTTTTTGTAAAGGAAAAATAGGCAGGAAACAAGGTGTGCATGTGTGTCTGGGAGAAGCAGATTAGGAAAAAGCAGACCACCAATGGAGTTAGTAATTAAATAGCAAGACTGTCTGGATCTCCCACTGCCACAGGAAGTACATTCCAGGATGTTTTATGGGAATGTCCTGGTTGCTCCTAGCCCACAACAGGCCTGTGAGAAGCCTGCCCAGAGCTGGCATTTAAGCACTGTGCGGTGCCAGGGCATCTTCCAAAACTGGAATTGCTTCAGGCATGGCATCCTCAGCAGAGCAACATGCCCCAGGAAGTCTAATTTTACCTTACTGCATTTACACCACCAGCCTGAAAGCTAACAACATCCCAAATTGTTTTGCAGCACTGCAGGTTTCCAGGCAAACACCGGCACCCAGCAGGTCACTGTGCCCCCTTGAGCACTAGCACCTCTTCGCTGCACAGCACGGAACCTGGCTGCTGTGCTACGGCAGAGCTGCCTGCACAAGTCAAACTACTATGTGGCTCTGTGTTCTTAGGGAACAATCTCTTGTGCACCATTACACCTCCCTGCTTCTTGAAGAATTTGCAAGGCAGCACTGCAGTGGTATTTTTACCTACCCATTTCTTGCACTTTGTCAGGAAAAAACCACACCCTTTACTGCACATTCAGACTAAGACCACGTACTCTGTGCAGACAGAGCTCCCAAACAGCTCCAAGTACACCTTTTGCACCTGAACTGTACTGGCTTTACTTGAAGAAATATGGCAACATTCAGGTTGATCAGACCTTTAGCGTTTATAACCACTCACAAGGTAGTACAGAATGAAGCAGAAGAACAAAACAAGAAGGACGTACCATTGAGGAAAGTGTCCTGATCAGGAATGAAGAAGGCTCCTGAGCACATCGCTGCCAGAAGTATAAGTTTAATGAGCCAGAATCTGGACAAGAGGCAAGGACAGAAAAAAATCATCTGGTTATAATAGGAAATAGAGGTCTTCAACTCAAGTACCATGAGAAATCTCTATTTAAAGCTCAACAAGAGAAAAAACAGCCTTTGATGACTGATTGCCACTTCAGTTAGTTTTCACTTCACTGCATTATTTCTGACAAAAGCAGTAAAATCAACTTTTGGTTTGTTTTGGTTTAATTTTTTTGCACAGTACTACACCTAGCTGGAAAGTAGGCAGAACAAACCTTGAGTAAGCAGTACAAACAAAGAGAACTGGAAATTAAGCAATCAAATGAATACTCACCCATTATGAATGTATGCCCGGCAGCTTTTGCTGCTGTTAATTTTGATGGTGAACAAGAAGAACAAAAAGAAGAAACAGGCCATCCCAAAACAGACTTTGTACACTGCAGAGTATCCCACCAACTTCTCGCACATCTCACCCGCCTGAATGCCCTTGCACATCTCCTTGTAGAAGGGAATCTGAAAAGCATAACATGTTACAAGCCATCAGAGAGGACACAGGGCTCCTTGTAACTAGGCACGTCTATGCCTATGCACCACTGACTTTTCACTGGCTTAATTTAACACTTTTCACACCTGATACCCCTCAGCCTGGATTTAAGGGTTCAAGGGACATAAAGAAAGGTAAAACACATGGGACTGGAGTTTTATAGAGCCTCAAGTCTCAACTCCTTCCAGATGTTTTGGAGTGCAAGTCCACCTCCCTTTCTTCAGCTCTGTTGGCTTAAGCCATCCCATCCCCGTTCTGCTTATCCCCTCAACCCTGGGACCTCTCCCTCCTTCCCATGCTTTACAGCAAAAGACTCTGGTTGCTTCAGTAACACAGCATCCATAAGCCATACTGGCAGTTTTGTCAGCCAAAGGGGCAGGAATGGGGCTGCAGGGCAGGAAGCTCTGGCTCACGTTGCCCTCAGTGGAAACACAGACCGAAGCACACCCAAGCGGCACAGCGGCAGCAAGCACACTGCCCTCCATCACAGCCTCCGGAAGGCAGTTGTGCCAGTTGCTCTGATTTTGTTTTAAATTAACAGAAAGGTAGGAAAATTCCACCCTTCCCTTGACTCATTAAATATTTGCCTTTGAGGCCTTGCTCTTGCCGCAAGGGGAAAGTAAACAGCTGCACACTTTGGCTTCAGTTTCACCAGGCGGATGTGATGCTGGGCACTCAAAAAAGCAGGTCTGTGTGGCCAGGACCCACTCCTGTGGGGTGCCTCTGTGCAGACACCTCCCCTTGCAGCCAGGGAGCCATTCAGCTGAGCAGAAATACAGGCATTTAATTAGAAAACCACTGTTCATTTCAAAGAAAGAAGGGCCTCTCTGTACACTCACAGCCCTCAGCTGAGGCTGGTGAGACCAGTTGAGCAACACATCAAACCCTCTGCAGCTGATTGCTGCTACCTGCACAGGTAACTGGAGGAGACAGAAGACAATGTGGGCCAGGACATAACATGCACAAATAAATAATGTGGGCAAAGGAAATGGGAATTAGTCTTCAGAAAGCATTCAGCCAGGCCAGATTTTGCTTAGGGGAAACATAGATTGTGGACAACACCATCCTTGAAGATTTTGAAGAAACTAGCAAAGATAGGAAGGAGTCTTTTCTTCCTTCAGCAGGCAGGTCAGTACACAAAACCAGGACAGGGGAAGAACAGGACCCGAAAGCAATTGATCAGGGAGCACTCCTAGCAGGGTAGAAAGCCATCTGAGATAGAGGAATGAGGGATAAACATGTGAACTGCTGGCTTCCAGCTCTGAAAGTCTGCCTCCCTCATCAGGGTATGCAACCTCCCAGCCCAAACCAGTCAGGAGTTCAACAACCCTCCTAGCAGTTTCCCAAAAAGAGCAAGTATTTTAGTAGCTCACAGCAACGCTGAGCTAAGGGTAGGAAACTTAACTATGGTACTGAGCTGATCCTAGGTGGGCTAGAACCAGCCAAGGAGACGAAAAGCAGATCTCAACACAGCTGCGTGGTGTTACAAGAACAGATTAAAGCTGGGCCACTCTGAGATGCTCTTTCAGAAGTAACTCAGAGTTGAGTAGCCACTGCACAAGAGGCTGGACAGTAAATAAGTACCTGTGGCTACCTTGCATCCAGGAGTTTTTAGAGAGCTCATGAGAAACTGTCTGGAGCATCAGCAATGCCTTTCCCAGGTGCTGAAAGGCAATGAAACGTCAGACTGGGCAAACATGCCAGCATTCAAAATGAGCAAATGGATTGACTGGAATAATGGAGGGACCTATTAATGCCACAGTGATGACAGGGCAAGCCAAGAGGCTACAGCAATACCAGGGGAAGCAACTGGGCTATCAATTAATGCTTTCCAGTTCTTCACTTATAATAACCATAAGAAGAAATTTTAAAAATTGCATAACCTTGAACTAACAATATTTCTGAGAAAATTAGATATTTGTTTGATATAGGTGATAGTACTGACCAAGGAGACAGATATCTGTAAGATCTGTACTTGGTACCAAGCAGTATTTTGCTTATGAGACTTATAGAACAAAACAAAAAATTACCATGGAACTTGATTAATCAAGTAGCTAATTAAAAACATATTTCTGGATAAATGTAAATGGGCATCTTCTTTAATCACATAGGTTTCTACAGAGACCTTGATGGGATTTTTGACCCTGTATGTTCTTTTCTCCATTTAGTTGTAATTTCCTCACAGATCTAGCTGAGAGAAAATGGATGGATTCACAAGAACAATAGCTCAGTTTGTGCCTACACCAGCAACAAAGAGCTCAGCTGTCATGTAGTATGCCCAACACTACGCAGTAATAAGTGATGGCCACAGGAATAGTCCTCTGGGATTGAATGCCCTTTTGGAGATCCGTGATCCTGAAGGAATAAAAGAAGAATAAAACCAAAATCTTGGGGACCCTGGCAGATACTAAATATGAGCACAATGCTGGGGATGAAACGACTGATGTAATGAAACAGGCATGTTTTCGTGAGAGGATGGTCTACTGCTGGGAACAATTTATGAAGGCTTATGTGACTTCTTCACTGAAAGTTAAAAGAGACTAATTTTTTTTTTTTAAATTATATATCTCTGAAATATGTTCAGCTGCTGAGCAGCCTGCCCAGACTATGTGATTTACCAGACTTTCCATTTGCTGGGTAGTTTTGCCAGCTGTTAAAATCACAGATTAGTTATTTGTTAAGTTTGATATAGTGAAAGATCTATTTTTATACCTTTAAAAGCAACATAAGCTGAATTCTTTGGCCTCTCAGTAGAGGCTGTAGAAACTCAGTATCCTCTCAGATAACATAAACGCCTCAGCTGCTATGCAAGCAATGATGTTATCACAGCAAAGTCAGTAATTGTCTGAGCAAAGTGAAACCCTCGGAGACAATGGCAACATCTGCAGAAACAGTGACAGACTGCCCTGAACTTGCTTTCTCCTGACGGCGAGCTGCTGGTGCCCAGAATAAATGCAGTGCAAGAAGCAAGCCAACATGGTCACACTGCATCCAAGCTCCAACCGGCTGGGGCTGGGCCACCTCCGAACTTGGGTCTGTCTGCACCCAAACATATGAATGCAGGAGTACAAGAAATGGCATCAGAGGAGGAACAGGAAGGAAGAAGTGTGTAGAAATGGACCTGAAGAGCCCAAAGGAGACTGCTGGATGAGGTCATCCAGACAAAAGCAGAAGGAGAATGTGGCAGACAAACTTTGTGATGGAAACGGAGGAAGCATGAAAGAAAATCTGTGTAGGTGGAAAGACAAGGGCAAAAAAGCAAGTAAAACTGCCTGAACAGTGGAGAAATTGAATAGGAAACCAAAAAAACAATCAGACCAAAACACATGCCATCTTACATCTATGGTGAAATTCTTATCAGAAATAGGCAATGGGCATCTGCACTTAAAAAACTAATTTTTGGTAGCAAATTTGGGTTTTAACATACTATAATACAGTTTAGGGCCAAGATACAAACCTGGCTGGGGAAACAAGCCTAAAAGGATGCTCTGCCAAACACACAACTACCTAGAACTGAAAGGTTTTGACACAACTCAACTGGTTTTTACTGGTGTTTGTTTTCCTGAAAAAATCTTCCTTATTTTTCCTTCCATTATTCAAGTAGAACATGGATATTTCGACGGTGAATGGTTTTGAAATATCGAATGATATTTCGACTGGTTTTGAAACAGCTTTTAACATTAAAAATTTAATTTAAAAAATAAATCAAAACACTACTTCAACACACCAGAACAATTCTCTCCCTTTTCTTCTCTCAATTATCCTTTTAAAGCCTATGAAACACAGAGTTTTGCTTCAACAGAACATGTGAGTAAAGCTGTACCTGTTTTTCAAAAAAACAGAATGACTGGGAAAAAAAATGGATGAAGGCATAGGAGCACTTCAAGTTGAGTCCTGCTTTGCTTCATTTTGGAACAGAGTCAAGTTTCTAAACCATTTTGTGTAACTGCATATTGGTCTTTTCTGTCTTTGTGTCCCCATCACCAATACTCTCATGTCTTGATTGATGCTCTACCCCATCTTTTGCCTTGATACACAATCTTGCTCCTCTGAAATCTATTCTACATGGTACTACTAAAATATTTTTCTGGTCAAAACCAGCCACTCCTTCAGTACCCCTCCACTGCCTCTTGTTTCTTCCCAAGAGATCAAAACCAAATGCTTTGGTTTCTTTGCACATTTTTTAGAACTTAACCCCTTGAGCCTCTCTCCCTTGGTGTCCTGTGGGTGCAGGAACAGCTCAGGAGATGAGGAAGAAGCGTGAAAACAACAGGAAAAAACTCCCCCTCAAAAGACACTGTTCAGTTCTTAAGGCTTATCACTAAATACTATGTCCTCAAAATGCTGCTGGTTAGATCAGGAAGCAAGGTTTTGAAACCACAATCAAATACTCCACAGGTACTGTGTCCTCCTGTGTCCTGACACATGATTTCATGTACCTGCCAGCTTCACTAAAGATGTGGAAGCTGAGCTCCGTGGGACAGTACCTCGCTTTTCTAGCCATGTTGCAAGGCACAGAGCAGGTCCTCAGCTCTGGGCTGGCACCTGCAGAGTGTGGTACCTCACAAACTGAAAAACTGTCTTAAACATGTTTTAATAGATGGAATGCATGACCATGGGGGTAGGTAAATACTGCAAACCAAATATACACATTTTTTTAAAAGTCTGTGTTTAAAGTGTTCATAGGAGGTGTACATTTGCTGTTGCTTCCTGTCAAAATAATGCCAAAGGACCCAGTGCTACAATAAATACTTTCTAACTACTTTAGAACTGGGAATTTATAGCCAATCAACGAAAAAAATCTCTCGCTGACAAAGGAGAAATTCCTTTCACATAACATCAGCATTTGATTTCTAAACTGCTAAAGCATACACACGGTTCCCTGACAAGATTATGGCTCCATAAGGAACTGCATTATTTTTTTTTTTTTTATTTTAATACAAAAAAATTAAAATTCTGATTAAAATTAAAGTTCTCTCTCCTCTCAAGAAAGAGAGGCTGAGGTCCTAGAAGCATCATGCAAAATGTCTGCTTACAGTCTGACTTCAGGAGCTAAGAGTGCTCCATGATCCAGCCAAAACTGAAGGAATCAGTAAGTGCCCAGCACTTTCAAAACACAGTTCATCACTGAGAAGCTGAGACTGGTTAGTCTGAATAAATATTTTGAAGGTGCACTCTATTGCAACTGGGCTGAATTAGGTTCAGGAGTCTTTGAACTTTTAACAGCCTTGAACATAATTATTGAATTAGAGAGCAGATAAAGAAAGCATACTTTCAGATGGTCCATTTCCCACTCAAAGACATCAAATGCTCTATATTAAGAGGGTGATTATCTTTCCACTTCACACTAACAGCTACTCTTTGTGCTATTTCTTCCCACACTGAGCTTTCAAGACTATGAACTGGAAAGGAAATCTGGCACTACTGAAAAGCATGTTATTGAAGACTTCTTGAATCACTTTTTCTGTTGGATAAAGAGCGAGTATTTTTTGTTAAGGATAGAAGCTGCATTAAAACCACACTACTGATGAAAAATGACTTTATGAAATTTGGATATGAGCACATAATTTGTCTCCCACACTCGAGTTCCTTGGGTTACTCACTTTATTGCCTAGCTAAGCATCTAGTAAGTCAAAGTAATTCCTGGCAAGCCATTTCAGCACACACATGTTGAACAGTTTTTAAGCCGCAGCTCACAGGCAAGCACCATGTCTGTACTGGGTGCTCTCAAGGGGCTGTCAGAAACTTCTGGTGGCCAGGGGTAAGAAGGTGGCACAAGGATAATTCAAGCAAAGCGCTCTTAAATGAATGAAAATTAGGAGAGAACATACAATGGGGAGAAACAGAGCACAGAAACTCTCAAACGAGCCCTGTCATTCATTTGTGTTGCAGGCACAGGGTGCTACCACTAGCTTCTGGATCCGGGCTGCTGTGGAGGGAAGGCTTCCAGTTGTCTGTGAAACCTAAGTGCAGAAGGTAAGCAGGGCATCAACTTCACCAGTAGCTGGTTAAACCAGGAAACAGCCTTAACTGTGCAGCCACCAGTACTCCCTCTTGGGAGGGTAACACAAAACAACTAGAAGCCTGCAGCAAGGGAAGCCTTCTGAACCTCCAGGGCAAGGACATACACAACCTCGAAGCAGGTCTGATGCCACGTTTCATGCAGAACTTAATTTTTAGGAATTAAGCAATCCAGCCATTGTTCCCTCTACTTAAAAACAGACTTTTCTAAAACAGACTTTTCTTCTTGTAGCTTGTAGAGGGTGAAGGAGAGGATTTCTGCTACTTAGAGCAACTTGGGTGGCTTAAGAAACCAAACCAAAGACGTGGTACAACAGGTCTAGTGTGTGACCACAAGCAGGCTGGTGAGCATTTAGCTTAGGGAAATTATATTAAGAGTCTGAAAGAAACTTCAGTTTTAAAACTGAGTTTTAGCCACAGCTCCTTCCAGGCTTTTGAAGCTTTTTAATTAAAAAGGCAATTAGAAATGAACAATATCTGCTGTGGTTAGAGGCCATGTGAACACAATGACTCAATGCATACTGAAGAAAATGCCTTGTAAAGGATCCACAGCATTGTGCATTGCAGTAGACTTGTTACACTACACCAATAACACAGAATTAAAATTATAAATGCAACACTTGAAGTGTTATTTTCTAATTTGCTATGTCTGCTACTGAACAAGTTGCCAGACTTTAACTCAACGTTAGACTGAACTGATTTGTTCTACTCTAAAATGTTCCCTGACAGCCTCTAGTGACACTGCAGGTTTCCGCACAACAAAAGAAGAGGAAGGCTGCTAGTCCTGCGATCCTTGACTCTTCCTTGACAGGAATTGACAGGAAGAGGCTGAGCATGGAAAATCATCCTGCCTGGGTTTGGAAGTGGACGGGTAGATGGAATCGACTGCCTCTTCTGAGGGAGCACCCTTATCTATGAAGAGCTGTGGAAGGAGCTCCATTTCCTTCCAGGGTCAGAAGTGGGTTCATTTCTCTTACTTACGTGCGTTTTCATTTCGTTAGCTACGGTTGTTGACATCATAACACAACAGATGACAGTCACCAGGATGAAGTAAAGCGCATACATGAAGCGGGTGCTTGTTGACTGTTTTATCTTTGGGCAGCATTTGCAGCACAAGGAACAAGCGGTAGCACCACAGCAGCAGGCCAACTGGAAAGTAAGACAAAAACACAAGTCATTCCATCACAGCCTTTAGGTTTCTATTGCAAAAGTCAGACAGGGAAGCTGGGAGACTTCCTGTAAACCTCCAGAATTTCTTAAGACCTCTCCTCCCAGCTGAGCAGAGTTTAAGTGGAAGCAGACTGTCTTGTTTATCAAAAGTCACTAGGTTTAAGCACGTCAGTTTCTAGCCTTCCCACACAGGAAGGATAAGAATGAAGAGGATGAGGAGGACATTACAATGGTAAAGGCTCCATTTCCTGCAATACGCTCTCTCTCCTCTCAGTAGTGAAAAAACAAATCTGCACAAGAAGGGCACAGACGCCAAAACTGTTCACTTTTAACATACAGACAAAAGTATTTTGCTTCTAACACAAGCTGTACAGATCCACTTCAATTCACCAGAACCATACTATCCTTTTTAAGGAGCCCTTTCTGGTACACACACAGACAAAACTTTTTTTGTTATTATTATTTTCTACAGAACTTTTAATGCTTCTAAAGACTTTAAGCAAATTAAAGGGGGGAGGAAAAACTGTTTAAGCCACAGTTTGGGATAGTTGTGCTGAAGGACAGACAATAGCTACAAAAAACCCCCAAACAAAGTCAAACAAACAAAAAACTACATTAACAGTTCCAAATATTTTGTGTGCTAGAGAAAGAAGAGAAAGAATCTGGAAATACTTGGCTTACTGCAAACAAAGCAAAAGATAGCTGAGCTTTAAGGACCCAAAATACAATGGCACTATCTTGTACTGAAGAAAGATAGAGAAGAAATACAGCTTCACAGTTAGTTAGACACACTTTGCAAATGGGAAAGCAGTGATTCCATGGGCAAGGTGGCAAGGAAAAAATACACAGCTGCAAAGAAAATAATACCAAATCACACTTTAGCTAATACTGTCTCCAATGTTTAAATGTTATTAGAGACAGAATTCCATGTGTATTTTAGTTCTTTTCTACCTGCAGCTGAGAGTCCACCAAGATAAAAACCAAGCATAGCAAAAAGCACATAACTGCCTCATTCAACAGGGAAAAAGGTACTGAATAAATCCCAAAAGGGATCTAGCTTGATGCTCGTTATTTCCGTGCTTTCAACAGTATCATTAACTCTCAAAGCAGCTGGATTCACCTTCCCCATCTTCTACTTTTAGAAAAGACATATATAAAAATATAAATAGAAGCCTTATTTTTATACATAAAGCAGCACTGTCCTTGGCCAGGCCCTTCCTTGCAATAGGCAGAAGCTTCGTATGGCTCTTGTGTTTAACCCAGCACCCACAACCACAGGAGGGATCTTTGGACATCAGCTGGCAGCACTGAGCAGAGAACCTCTCTTCCAGGTCTCACTGCTGCTGGTCCAGAGCAGCCTCACCCCTCAGCACTCCCATTTTTGAGGGGCTTCCTCTGGCTAGTGTGCAGCACAGGGACAGTACACTGCCAGTGGCAGGGGCTCGAGCACACCGAGGCCGCTTTTTCCTGGCTTTTCTTTGGCCCTCAGAGGGGCTGCGGGGATGTTGTGAGGACAATGACTCTCCGACCCAGAGAAGGGGGTTTCATGTGTGTGTTTGCAGACACGCATCTCTGATATAACTCCACAGCGTCTCACAACCAGACTGGTTAAACAAAAAGCCCCAAATCATTTTGAAGTGTCTTGAAAAGACTCCCAGCTTATCATTTCCTTGCTGTGACTATCTCCTGCAACACCCAAGCTCAGGCTTCCTGCCTTCAGCCCCACAGAAACTTGGTAGCGGACGGGACCTTGCCTTGCTCGACAACGGCTCTTTAGTTTGCAGAAGACATAAAACGGGGACAGTCCAACCTGGCTCCCACTCTGCCCTTCTCTCAGTTCACTGCTGGATCTCATGCCAGAGGAGACAGGGGCTTCAAAGCACGCAGCTGCTAAAACTGCTACTACTGCAAAACAGAAATCCTCCCCAAAACACACAAAGCTCCAACTGTGGGGAGTAAACAGAATGGGCTCGTGTTGGCACCAAAGCTGGAAATTAAAAATACTACGTGCATAAGCACATCATGCAAGTATACTTTCAAAATAGAAGACAGTGGTGACTGAATGGCAATTTTATTTTTTATATGTAGAAAAATTAAATTAACTTTTGTAGCATCAAGTAGAAGGCCAAGAAATAAGGAAGCTATGGCAAGTTACCAATTCAGCAAACAAATGGAGTAATAACATTTCAAAACAAAACCATACTATCAAAGCATAACCCATCCACTTCAGAATTATGGGGGGAAAAAAAGAGTAAGACTAAAGATCCTTTCAATCTCTATCATCCAGATCCAAAGTATCCATGATGAACTTCAAATGCTGGCCATACTCACCATAATGTTAAAAACTAACACAGCACAGAAGTAAAGAGGTAAGCAGCTTTGGCATTTGTAAGGGGAACGATATTTTCCTAAGCCAAGTTCTCAAGACCTCTGCCAGTGAAACCTCATCTATGTCCAGCAACATGTCTGCTATTCCAGTCCAGGGTCCCTGGAACTGCTGTTTAAAGCAACCAATACTTAAAGAGAATATACAGCTCATTTATGCACTGTTCCACATTACTTAGATAGACTTTAATGATAGTTTCTAATACTAAGCATGCACCCTATAAATTGGCAATATTTGTGAAAAACACCAGTGTCTCCATCTTTTTTCAGATGCACTCCTTTAAGCACTCTCAATAGCCATGGAAACCATAGAAAGTTGGATAGGTTATTCAGACACAGTCTCAAATTCGGTGGGTTATTTTTTTGTGCGTGTGTGTGTGTGTGTGTTTTTTTTTTTCTTTCCCCAACTGTGGTTATGACTAAATACATTCCACAGTGGGCTGCACTGAAATAGGTGTTATCCAAAAATAAATGAAAACAGTCTCTGTCCCAAAGAGTAAGATGCAAGCCACAACCTACTGACCTGAGAAGTTTCAAAGATGTTATCTTTGTGTGACAGACTTTAAAACCAACATCTATAATGAGTTCTCTGTTAAAGGGTTGTGGTCAATGTGCAGCTCAACTATGCAATCCCTCTGATGCCACATGCTTTACCATAGGCATAGCCCATCTCGCCTCACCTCTGCCTTACAACTGCAGTGTAGGTCTGCCCAGGGGCTCAGGACCCACCGGTGCAGAAGTGCAAGCTGGTAACAAATTCTTCCTATGTTAAAAAAAACAGGCTGTGAAAAAAAATAATGTCATAAATCTTTGACAGATTTAGCTTATCAGTAAACAAAAGCTCATCCAAAGGACAAGTTCTGCAAAAGGAAAGCACCATGTGGTTTTTAGGACAGAGACAACCCAGACAACTCAAGATCTGAGATTGCTGCCAGCAGGCAGGCCTGAAAATCCTGATCTGTACCTACAGTGCTTCTTCAGAGTCCCATGATCCTTCCAAGTCCTGGGTCCCCCAGAGCCCAACACGATGGCATCCAAAAGCCAGGCTGCTCTGGGAGGAGTCTGTCACGCTGCAGCAGGTTCCAGCTTCAAGTCTTTCTCATCCAAAGGCTCCCACAAGCCAGGCAGCAAGTACAGCCACCCCAGCTCCTGCTCTAGCTTTACATCTCCTCCCTGGGTGAACATCACAGTCTGACAATAATTACAAGCGCTATGCAAATATTTATGCTTTCCTCAAATACAATGAGACAACCCCCTGACAGTAACACACCACAATGCCAGTCCTCCACAATGTATACCGGCTGCTGCTTTGCTCGGTGCCACTCTTCTGGAGCTCAAGGAGGGTGCAGTGCCAGCTTGTCTGACATCCTGAAACTTGAAAACCGTGCATACTAGAAAACAGACTGCACTGTGATTTGAACTGCCTGGATAATGGTTGACTTCACTGGTTTCACAACAGCAGCTGTAGAAAGCTGTGTGGGAAATTTTTCTCTTAAAAAATATTCAAAGCGCAGTTTCACAAGACATTTCTTCTGGTAGCTGCCTGGTTTAACAGCCACTGGCTCCCCCAGCCTTTCTGGCCACTCACTCCTATCCTGACACTAGCACCTCAGTAGCCCTTACAGTTGTTTCTGCTGCTGGGTGTGATGAAACAAAGCAACCTACTGGCTAAAAAAAAGGGAAGAAAAATGACATACCAGTCCTTCTCTGCTGCTGATTTATTATGCAACAGCAGCAAGTTTTATCATTTCGAGTGAGGGCACAGCGTGTGGGCCAGAAGGGACAGCAGAGGCGAATGCCTCACAGAAGTCCTGCATGCTTCAACCTTTCTCTGACCAGATGTTTCAGTGGCCTTTTCTCCCCACCTCATTTAAGTGCAGTAGGTCCCTGCCAGTGCAGAGGAACAGCAGTTTTCACATTCACACACTGAGGAGCAGAAGCAAGCAGACTATATAACAGCCCTAGTCCATGCAAGCCACTTCTCCAAGCACAGGCAGGCCAGGACATATTTGCACGCTCCCATCTCATCCAGCCTGGGGAGTACCTGTGGCTAACAAGAGTTAGACGGGTTATGACAACAGGGTAAAAGCAGGTTTCCCAACTTATGCACAAGCTATTGGCTCCCAACAATGCATACACCACCAACATACACTTACCATCTGCCACACACAAGTCCTGATCTCTGCAAGCTGTGATCCAATCTGATAAATCAGTGGAATGAGGTATGATGGTAATGTTAAGCACACTCATAACTATTTACATATGCGACTGAGAAGTAAAGTGAACATGGCCTGCCTACTGCTTTGGTAGAGACAGTGACATTTTTAGAAGGCATTTTCCACAGATGTTTCCGAAAAAATCTCAAAGGTCTTAGAAAATATTTTCCGTAGCCATTAAAACAAATTGAAGAGTTTCAGGATCATTGCCCAAAATAGCCTATGGTATTTTTAAAATACACAAACCATAGGGAAGTACTGAGCTTATTACAACAAAGTCTTCCTTTTGGAAGA